AGGAGATAGATTCTAGGTTTCGATAGATTCTAGGTTTCAACCTATGATGAATATGTGTCATTCTATTTTTAGAACCGGGGAAATCCTGAGATTTTTGTCACATTTATTGTCTTATGAACCTTTTGTTTTTCTTTATTGTTTAATTTGATCAATCATATGGAAACCCAAGTGATTGCTCCTATTGTTGTTGCTACTTTCTTGATGGTGGCATTATTGTAACTGTATTTGTATATGCGCTTCCATTCAACATATGCACAATCTGGATTGTTGGCATGTTTGATTGACATTGACCTTTGCGCTTTAGATGTGAGGTTTTAAGGCTATGGGCTAAAGAAAGTGGACCTGACAAAAATCATTGTGTGTATATATGGGAATGTGTGTGTGTGTTTGTGATAGAGACTCGGGAATTGTTAATTATTCTCCCCGCACATGGAGGATGCTTTAGCACTTGGAGAAGGTTTAGGTGGTTATTCTTATCAGGTACACGCACTGAGTAGCTTGGACTCGGCTTGTTTATTTTTGAGTATGAATCAATCCTAATCAAAAGATTAGGCTCATTTTTATTCAAGCCAATCTCAAGCTGGATCTCGAACAGCTCCTTTTGCTTATCAAAGCCCAAATGCAATTTTTTCCCATGTTTTGTTTTCATTCTCCATAAGCTTCTTTAATACTTGAACCATAGTTCATGCACTAGGGTTGGCTCTGCCTAACCATTTACTAAATACTAAAACCTAGGAAGCACAATAAGAATACGGCGATACAACAAAACTTTAAAAAATATGGTACGAGTATGGCTAGGATACGTATATAGTAAAATATATATTATATTTTATTAATATTTAATAACTTAGACATAACAATATGATTTATCCATAAAATGAGCGTGACAAATTAAAGGAATCAGAACAACATTTAACTAGTTAGTTTGTTTACAAGTATTTATTTTTAAGATTATAATGTTACTAACTCATTTTTTTATACTCTTTTGGTATGTAATAGTAGATAATACTTAAAAAATACTTGTACCCTCAAAATCATATGAGATTTTATTGATACTTTGTATTTTTTGTGAATACGAAAGAAGAGAGTATAGATTAAAATTAAAAATTGTGCATCTTGCTCCATATTTAAAAGCATTTGCAAAGTATCTACATATTTTATTACTTATTGGATACGTATGATGAAGATCCGATATGTATCTTTGAGTATTCAACGAGTATTGTATCTGATACGGTATTCGATACGGATACGTCGACCTTGACGCAGTATCCGTGCTTCGTAGCTCAAAATAACCCCTTTCTAATTCTTTATCCCTCTCAGTTTTCTATTAGCCTTCACCTTCCTTAGGCATTCTCTATCTCGTTGTGCTTCTCTGTTACTGACCGACACCACATCTCTCTCTCTCTCACACACACACACACATTCACACATACACATTTTGCCTCTGTTTGACTCGCGTGCGACACCGACTCCATTAGACTCTCTCTATACCTCTCTCATTCTTTGTCGCTCTCTTGATCTCTCTCTTTCTTCTCCTTCGAAACTTGATCTTCATATCTCCCCCATCTGGGCAGGTCGACCCCAAATGGGGGGATGCGTTCCATATTGGTAAAAGCAGCGTCCCAATCTAGTTCATATCCGATCCGTTGACAAGCCTAGCTCTGGTGTGGTGGTGGTTATGGAAGTGGTTGTGCTTTTTTGTGGTGTTGGATTTAACGGTATAGAAAAATAGGTTGATTTCGGGTTTGAACAAACTCAACCCGAAATCATCCCAAATTTATAACTCGAGCCTATTCGAATTCAACTTGAGCGTTGAGTATTATGGGTTGAGGTTGGGATCGGGTTAGAGTTAGGGGCGAAGATTAAATATCTATGGTTAGGTTAGGGTTGACCTCCTAATCCGCCCGAGATGCACCCCTACACCTACCAAATCGACCCACGATCCATGTAACTTTAGTCTCGACAAACTTAAAACTTTGATCTATCTCCGTTTGTCTCTGATCTCTCTCACAACTCTTGAAACAATAGAATTGGGTAATAATTTCTCACTATCTAGTCTTCTCTCTCACTCTTGCTGTGCCTCTTTCTCGGCTGTATNTAAGCTTCTTTAATACTTGAACCATAGTTCATGCACTAGGGTTGGCTCTGCCTAACCATTTACTAAATACTAAAACCTAGGAAGCACAATAAGAATACGGCGATACAACAAAACTTTAAAAAATATGGNGAAGCTTCTTTAATACTTGAACCATAGTTCATGCACTAGGGTTGGCTCTGCCTAACCATTTACTAAATACTAAAAACCTAGGAAGCACAATAAGAATACGGCGATACAACAAAACTTTAAAAAATATGGTACGAGTATGGCTAGGATACGTATATAGTAAAATATATATTATATTTTATTAATATTTAATAACTTAGACATAACAATATGATTTATCCATAAAATGAGCGTGACAAATTAAAGGAATCAGAACAACATTTAACTAGTTAGTTTGTTTACAAGTATTTATTTTTAAGATTATAATGTTACTAACTCATTTTTTTATACTCTTTTGGTATGTAATAGTAGATAATACTTAAAAAATACTTGTACCCTCAAAATCATATGAGATTTTATTGATACTTTGTATTTTTTGTGAATACGAAAGAAGAGAGTATAGATTAAAATTAAAAATTGTGCATCTTGCTCCATATTTAAAAGCATTTGCAAAGTATCTACATATTTTATTACTTATTGGATACGTATGATGAAGATCCGATATGTATCTTTGAGTATTCAACGAGTATTGTATCTGATACGGTATTCGATACGGATACGTCGACCTTGACGCAGTATCCGTGCTTCGTAGCTCAAAATAACCCCTTTCTAATTCTTTATCCCTCTCAGTTTTCTATTAGCCTTCACCTTCCTTAGGCATTCTCTATCTCGTTGTGCTTCTCTGTTACTGACCGACACCACATCTCTCTCTCTCTCTCACACACACACACATTCACACATACACATTTTGCCTCTGTTTGACTCGCGTGCGACACCGACTCCATTAGACTCTCTCTATACCTCTCTCATTCTTTGTCGCTCTCTTGATCTCTCTCTTTCTTCTCCTTCGAAACTTGATCTTCATATCTCCCCCATCTGGGCAGGTCGACCCCAAATGGGGGGATGCGTTCCATATTGGTAAAAGCAGCGTCCCAATCTAGNGTCTTCATATCTCCCCCATCTGGGCCGGTCGACCCCAAATGGGGGGATGCGTTCCATATCGGTAAAAGCAGCGTCCCAATCTAGTTCATATCCGATCCGTTGACAAGCCTAGCTCTGGTGTGGTGGTGGTTATGGTAGTGGTTGTGTGGTGGTTGTGCTTTTTTGTGGTGTTGGATTTAACGGTATAGAAAAATAGGTTGATTTCGGGTTTGAACAAACTCAACCCGAAATCATCCCAAATTTATAACTCGAGCCTATTCGAATTCAACTTGAGCGTTGAGTATTATGGGTTGAGGTTGGGATCGGGTTAGAGTTAGGGGCGAAGATTAAATATCTATGGTTAGGTTAGGGTTGACCTCCTAATCCGCCCGAGATGCANCGAATTAGATGCAATTATTATTATTCTTAAATTTTTAGATGCAGACATGTTCGAATAATTTTTAGACATATCTCGTTCTTTTTTCTAAATTATAAAATTATTTTATTATTCTATAGAAATGAGCGTCATAATGTAATAAATTACAAGGTAATCAATGAAAGACTGTTATTATCATTTTGTATATATAAAAAAAAGATTTATTGATATCATTGATTTGTAATTCTTTTAAATGATAAACAATAATCAGATTTAATTATAAAATGGTAATAATTAGTCTCATACGAAGTTTTAATTAATTTACTTTTATTTTTTGTTTGTTCATTCCATGCAAATCGTTTTTTAACTTTTTATGTTTAATGAATTTTTACGCATAATTATAGTAAATGTGAATTTATGAATTTCTATGGTCAATTGAAAAAAAAAATGAAAAATGCTATTTAGATCTAATTTAATGACATAATTCAATGCGCCCTTGGTGGGATTTAATTTTTGTGTGGGATGTGTTGTGAGCCATTGGATTAAGTTTGATGAATTTAGATGAAATTTAGATCATTTAATTTAAAATGAATTTAATCTGAATTGTTATTGCGCTTTTTTAAATTTAAGATAAATACGTATGAGAGATAGGAGTGTAGAGTCTTATGATAAGATGCTTCTTCATGGGTGGGAAAAGAAATTCAGGACTAACTGTAGACTGTTAGATCAAAATTTTTGAGATGATCTCATCCGTCTTTTATGTTGGAATTACGTTGTCCGTTGGATGTGTTTATGTTTNTACTTTGACTTCTATATTTTTTTTTACCATAGGTTTGCTTGTGTGGATTCACTGGCTCAGAAGTTAGATCTTCTATATTTAACAGAGTAGCATGTGAATTGCCCGCCACCAAAAGTCTTGGTGGCGGAGTGATGAAGTAGATCTATTATTTAGATCGGAAAGATGCTCAATGCATAGTTTGCCTATATTGGGCAATCTAGGTTCATGCACCCGATTCACTAGCTTAGAGTTTTGATACAGTGATTCAAAACTTAGATCTCTGTATATTACTTGGCCGCAAAATAGCATCAATTGTAGTCTTAGTGTTGAAGAAATAAATAAATCCATTATTTAGATCTGACTGATGGTCAATGCATTCATTTTATTTTATTGGGACATCAAGGTTCGTGCAACCATTTCACTAGCTTAGGGTTGATACATAATTTGGATCTTTATATATTACTTGGATGCAGGATAGCATCAATTTGGAAATTTTGATGTTGGGAAGTTGTTCCTTGTTACATCTTGTCTCAAAGACTTCTTATTTAAAGTGGTAAAGTTTGTGCCCCTGTGGCACTGCTATAAACGTGGGTTCACCGCGTTGCCCAAAGATCTTTGACCGGAAAAGAAATGTTTAAAATACCAGAGCAAATAATATCCACATGATGTATGAGTTTGGTTTGGGTGCCCGCATTCACCCCAGGCTGCTAATGACTTTCAAAGAGATCTTGAATCAAATTCATTCTCGCAACTATTGGTGTATGGCAGGGTTGCATATTTGTAGTTGTGTAAACTGTATATCTACCTCTGTGTTGATGCATGAGGGTAGGTGTAACAGCATTATTATTTTTGAATTGTTCATATCCCTAATATAACCCACCATTAAGGCTAGTATGCACTAAGAGGCTTGTGCTCTCTGTTTTTGTTCCTATCCCAAAACATCTTGCTGGGTGAACTTTTGGCATTTGTCTCAAAGAATATTTGTAAAAAAAATATGATATTAGACTTTTTAGTATCATAGCTTGTTCACTTCAGGTTTGANTAAAGAATATTTATAAAAAAAATATGATATTAGACTTTTTAGTATCATAGCTTGTTCACTTCAGGTTTGAGTCAAATCAATTATTTAGTGTGCCGTTAATGTTATCTTCTTGCCTTGTCAGCATAAATACCCCTTTTGTTTTTGCAGGTATGTGGAGGCCATTCGAGAATTCAATAAGATTCTCTTATATATTTACAAGACTAAGCAATATCACCAGAAGTCTTCACAGTATGAGCAGATACTAAAAAAGAATGAGCAGATGTATGCCTTGCTGGCAATATGTCTCTCTCTTTGCCCCCAGGTGAAGCTTGTCGAGGAGACTGTGAATTCTCAACTGCGTGAGAAATATGGAGAGAAAATGTTGAGAATGCAGAGATATGATGATGAGGCGTTTGGCCTCTATGACGAGCTTTTCTCATATGCATGTCCCAAGTTCATTACTCCTTCTGCTCCAAGTTATGAGGAGCCTCTTGTAAACTACAACCAGGTATGGCTTACCATATAAATAAAGCACATGGTCTTGTTGAAGGATTGGAGTCAAAGACATGATATTCTTATCATCTTTGACTGAAATCTATGTCTCCTTTTTAGTTTTTACTTAATTTTCCTGCTTAAGTACCTCAATTCCTATCCTCCAGTATTAATCCACTAGTCATTGCCCTTGCCTGAAGGCACTATGTTGCTTATAAAATTTCAACACACAAAGATAGGATGTTTGAATAATTTCAACACATAGCGATTAGATTGGTTTTGAACATTTTTTTGTTGGTGCAATTGGTATCTTATTTTTTTTTGTATTGGTCACTTATTTTTTTTAATTGCTGATTAACTTGAGTTTTGAATTTTTTTTTAATCTTATGAGAACTATAGGTTTTCATATAGTAGTAATTTATTTTTGGTATGAATAATAACTTGATGATTTTATTTATGGATTATAAAGACAATTTAAACTTCATTGATTGATAAGAAGTAAGAAGTAAACATCAACTTTCGGTACTAAGATGAGTGATAAGAAGATTTACTTACAGTGTACTCTAGGTATGAATCAGTTTGTAATAAGAAGGATGAAAAATTATATAGTAAGTATATAATGGTTTTTAATGAAATATTATACCAAAGGTTTTGAAAAAATCGATATACTAAATAACTTACATGTTTAAAAATGGTGACATTGTCCATTTGGGTACTAGTTTTTATGTTGTAGTGACGGTGTGTATGCAGTTATTGAAGTCAAATGTTAAACTGTCAAATTTTAAAAAAGAAGCACTAAACTTAGAGATATTATGTATTTTATGTTTGTTTAATAGAAATATTTTTAATTTTATGTAAAGTTTTATCATAAAATTAAAAATTAAACAAAACCAACCTAAATCAACGTACAAACAATACACTTTTAACATATAACATTTAACAACAATCAGGTAATGATGATACATCTATAACTAAACTACACGAACATTAAAAATTAAAAACAATAAACTATTGTCAAAACATACACTACTAAACCAAACCAAAAAAATTATCAACGATAAACAATAATGGGTACTAGCGAGAATACTTCCAGAGGTTAGATCACTGCCAATATAATTTGGATGGAAGAGAGTGGATGGTCGGAGTGGGTAAGTCCAGTGGGTCTCTAGATTATGTCGTGCATCGCTGAAGCAGGTCTGTCCATTGTTGGAGTCTGCACAGAGAGATGAGAGACTGAGGAGGATGACACTGATTTCTGAGAAACTAAAATAGGTGAGACGGTTAATGGGGAAAAGAGAAAGAGTTTGGGCTGTGTGTTAGACAAAATGGATTGCATGTGAGTGTAGTTAAATTGGGTGGGATTTAGGGGCGGAGCCACCCTTGGACTAGGGTGGGCACGTGCCCCCCTCAAATATTTTTTTGGACATTAGATATATATTTTTTAAAATAAAATTTAGATATATTTAATTGTGCCCACCCTCAATTTTTTTTTTACAATAAATATATATTTTTTTAAAATAAAATTTAGTCATATTTAATTGTGTCCATCTTATTATTATATTATTGTGATATCGATTAAGATAGACGACTACTTAAATAATAATTAATTTTTAAATAATGTTATTGAAACTAATACATTATGATATTAAATCTAATAGTGAGTCCCTACATTTAATAACCTCTACTATCCATCCAATGGTCACAAACCATTGGATTCTTACCAATTAAATTTTGAATTTTTTTTTTGGTTAAGATATAAATTAAATTTCGAATTAGATGCAATTATTATTATTCTTAAATTTTTAGATGCAGACATGTTCGAATAATTTTTAGACATATCTCGTTCTTTTTTCTAAATTATAAAATTATTTTATTATTCTATAGAAATGAGCGTCATAATGTAATAAATTACAAGGTAATCAATGAAAGACTGTTATTATCATTTTGTATATATAAAAAAAAGATTTATTGATATCATTGATTTGTAATTCTTTTAAATGATAAACAATAATCAGATTTAATTATAAAATGGTAATAATTAGTCTCATACGAAGTTTTAATTAATTTACTTTTATTTTTTGTTTGTTCATTCCATGCAAATCGTTTTTTAACTTTTTATGTTTAATGAATTTTTACGCATAATTATAGTAAATGTGAATTTATGAACTTCTATGGTCAATTGAGAAAAAAAATGAAAAATGCTATTTAGATCTAATTTAATGACATAATTCAATGCGCCCTTGGTGGGATTTAATTTTTGTGTGGGATGTGTTGTGAGCCATTGGATTAAGTTTGATGAATTTAGATGAAATTTAGATCATTTAATTTAAAATGAATTTAATCTGAATTGTTATTGCGCTTTTTTAAATTTAAGATAAATACGTATGAGAGATAGGAGTGTAGAGTCTTATGATAAGATGCTTCTTCATGGGTGGGAAAAGAAATTCAGGACTAACTGTAGACTGTTAGATCAAAATTTTTGAGATGATCTCATCCGTCTTTTATGTTGGAATTACGTTGTCCGTTGGATGTGTTTATGTTTTGTGTCAAAACGATTTAGACCTCTCTTTGTCTTTTGGATTCAAACTTCGTTCTACTTTATTATATTGATTTTTTATTTAATATATTCCTTGACATAGTGAGTTGGACTGCAGTACATATTCAGAAGGCAAATAAAGTCTACAAGGGGCATGAAATTGGCAGCTAGAAGATTTCATGCGTCTAGAAAACAAATGAAAATAACATATGCAACAGAATAGAAAGAAGTGATTAGGACAGCAGGGTGTCTCTGAATTACTCTATCTCAAGATCTCCCTCTCGTTATCACCTTTTGTAAAGTTCTAAAGGAAAGAAACTGGTGCTCTGACGTCGCTAACCTGGAAGAAATGGAGAAATAAAAAAAAGAGAAGGATAGGCCTAGAAAATAGCTTATGTAAAGAATAGAAAGCAGTGACTAGGACAGAAGGGTATCTCTGAATTACTCCATCTCAAGATCTCTGTCTTTTTTTCTTTTTGTGTAAAGTTCTAATGGAAAGAAGCTGGTCCTCTGATGTTGCTAACCTGGAAGACATAATGAAACATAATTAAAGTAAAAGAATAAAAAAAGAAAAATGAGATGGCAAAGGCCAAGGACCTCAATTTCTTTAGTGGCCCAATCAATGAGAAGGGGATAATCTCTTTTTGTGTGCATGAAAATGATTTTAGGATTTGTATTCTTAAATACTCGAGTGTAAGAATTTCTCTAGAAATTTATGCTAATATCTTTCACAAAAGAAAATCTATGTTACTTTTTACCTCTTTAAAAGTCTTCTATACTAGGTAGGTTTAGGAATGAGGGTCGGGCGGTTTTGGGGTGGCTGAATCGCATATCTATTATGTCTTGACACTGATATCCCTAATTTGAGGCAGGTGTATAAATTAACATCTCTGTATGAATCAAATCAGCACATCTAATTGGATCACAATGATGTGTTCACATTTTAAGTATTTATGATGACCTTGAATGAGCCAGTCCAGTGTAACCTCCCAACACCACTGCTCAAAAAAATAAATAAATAAATAAATAAAATAAGAGAGCGAGGAAAAGGAAGAAAATGTTGGTTGAGCTTGAATCCTATTGCCATGTAGATTACTGATATTTACACAGTCTGATCTCTGTTAATCTGGGGTGTTGGCAAGGGTGCATTGGGTGTAGACCTAGCTTTTTTACTTTGTTCAGCATTTGAAAGAGTGATTGTCGTCAGATTCCAAACAACGACTTTGATTCCAGTATACAATCTCATGGTTATCAGCTTACCCTTTTAGCAACACACCATCTCATTCGCATTTAGATGGCTGATCAAACATTTCGTTTCATCCATGAATTCCAATTTCCCCTAAATCGCTACTTCACACCTCCCACCACTTATCCTTTCTTCTATTTCCTTCAATTTGTGGGGTTACTACAAATTGCCAACTTGCTCTTGCTTACGTGATAGTCTTAGTGACTATGTTGTTGCAGGATGCCTATAGACTTCAATTGAAGCTATTCCTTTATGAAGTGAAGCAGCAACAATTATTATCAGGTGTTCGTACCTTCTTGAAAGTGTATTCGGCCATCTCCCTTGGGAAGCTTTCAACATACATGGAGGTGGATGAGTCCACTTTGAGGTCAGATATCAAGAAGATTTTTGTTAGCTTGAAGCCTATTTTCATACACATAATACATGTCGTTTTCTGAGCTGTTTGCTGTCATTAATGTTTACAGGACGATCTTGATGACATATAAGCACAAAACGCATGCTGTTGATTCTGATGAAAAAATCATCTCCAATGCTGATCTTGATTTCTACATTGATGATGTATGTATAGACTCATATATTCGCTTTCTTGTTTATAGAGACCATATATTCAGGCCTAGTTTTGAATAATGGAAAAGGCAATCTCATTATGGTTATGTTTAGATCGGCCAATTGGATTTTCAAGATTGCCAGGGGCTTTGGAGTTCTTATTTGTACCAAGTGAACCAAAATAAGTGAAAAGGCATCTTTGTATGATTGTGTCTTCAGTCCTCTAATTCCTATTTGCCTTTGATTAATTCCCGGTGGGCACGAGAGAGAATGTCTTGAACTTGGCACATGTTTTACGTTTGGGATAGAACTTGTGGAAGCTGACATGTTACCTGCATTGTCCGCATATACACACTTTGAGTAAACATTCCTCTATAAATGTTTACATATGTAAGGTGGATGGTACGACGAGAAAATACTAGGACATACTTCACATTGTTGGATATACTTTAAATTAGCTTTGCTTTCATGGATTGTGGGTTCAAACCTTTTTATTTTTTTCTGGGGCATTGCAGGACTTTATTCATGTTGGTGAATCCAAACCAACCAAGCGGTATGGGGATTACTTTTTGCGTCAGATTGTTAAGGTATGCGGCTTCTGCCATTTGTCAGCACCAACTTTTTCATTTTTCTGGTGCATGATTACAACATGCGTGGATAAATAAATCACAATCTCCTACGGTGATGTCCCATACAGCTTGAAGGGGTGATGAATGATATGGACAGGATAAAGCTGGAATGATGCACCCATTTTTGATTAGCAAAAACAAATCACCCATTTCTACTTCAGGATAACCTCTCTTCTTCCCTTGTCTCGAGTTCTTATCATACTTCCCCTCTTCTTGTAATGTCCTTCCTCAGAGCCGCCTTTGCGATTACTAATGTGGGTGGATTTGAAATGTAATTTTGACTTATTTTAGAGTATTTTTAGAGATGATTTTGTTTTTGTTAAAAGAGCACCGCCATGCAAGTCATTTGCATCTGTTCTTAGTTTAGCTTTGATAATGTAATTTGTTAGCATTGGTAAGTTGCTAAACCCTTATTTGTTATTTAAGTCGTTGAAATTTATTTCATGGGTCTCTAATGTTGCCTGCGTCGTGGGGTATGCTGGAGGTACAATCTGACTGGTCTGGTGAAATTTTTTGAGGAGAAAAACATCTGATTGGGTGAACTAATGTAAATCCCCTTTACCACCCTTCGTTTAGGTGTCACCGGTGACCAAAGTTATAATCCTGGAGCACAGAAAGCTTTGAATGTTGGAAAATGACGGAAATAGACATTGAATGGGACTGGTTTGTTGGGCTAGTCATGTTAAAGGGGACTTGTCAGCCAGTCTTTTGACAACTATGGACATCAATTTGAGACGATGGAGTGGAAAAACAGTCTAGGATAATGGGCAAAATTGTCAGTGTTGTTAGATCTTAAGGTCGTCAGTTTGAACTTTATTGTTCACCAGTGTCTCGTTAGATCTTAAAGTTATGAGTTTGAATTTCGTTCTTGTATGTACTAATGTCTGACCAAAAAAAAAGAAAAATCAGTCATTTTTGCATATGATATTAGATAAAAATTATACTAAATTATATGGTAATATAATTAATTTTGTAGAAAAAGTTTAAATGAGCGAATGTGATTAGATAGAAATTATATTATAATTAAGTAAAAGTTCTTAGAAAAAAGAAAATTAAGAGTGAATGCTTCTCAAATGGAGATCTGATTCCCTTAATCTTTACTAATAGTGGTGGACTCGTGCTTGCTAGGAATTTATGTTGTATATTTTTCACACTTATGATATTAGATAAAAACATATATTAAATTATTTTTGTTAAAATTTTTTTATATGTGTGATAATTAATTAGTAAGTTGATTAGGTGGTTACATAGGACATACACATAGAATGTGATCAAATAAAATTTATGTTGTAATTAAGTAAAAGGAAGAGGTCGAGCCCTAGGCGAAGTACAGGACGCAGTCGGGAACGAGACCCTTGCATGTTCCTATGAAGAAAGAGAATGTTGGTATAAAGAAAGCAATGCATGCCACGTACATAGCATTTGACACAATCTGATTCCAATGGGCCCAAGGCGGTTGACAGAAACCGCTTTGAAGTTTGAACTGCGTGCCAAAAAAAAACAAGTGACTCTGGAAACTGTCAGATATGATATCCCCCTAAAGATCACCCGCACTGTAACATTAACTCTGCCTCGACTTACGTTATACACAAGCTAACTAGCTTGCCATATAGTGGATAGAATTATAGTACCAAAAATAATTGCGAATAATTTTTTAATTAAGTATAGTTATTACTTATTAAATAATGACATAAAATAATAAAATTATTTATGTATCTATTTATATATGTCATTATAGCAAATAATTAATAGGAGAGTACTTAGAAGCTTTCTCTCCTTAATTTTTAATTAGCATTAAAATGGATAAGAAAAGAGAAAAAAATTTATAAATTCGATCCACTTTTGTCATCTCATAATTGAATAGAATAAAATGTACAATATTAAAAATTATATTTGCATTAATTCTCAAATAATGATTTTAAATAGAATAATTTATAATTAATAAATTAATTACTTTTTATCGTATCATAATAATTATAAGATTTTAATTTTAGACATCCCATCTAGAAACTCTCATCGCCACGTTTTCCAACAACACCGACTGCTGAAGGTTGGGCCTCTACCTGCCACGTCACGAGATAAACATCCTCACCATCACTCGCCGCGTCACCCTAGACTTTCCAACACTATAAAGTCGATCGGGGTGGGCACAGTCAGCAAAGCGGAAAAAGGAGCACGTTAAATTTTGAACTAATAAAAAGGCTAAAATGTACCCACAGTTACCAGCACTCAGATCCTTCAAAACCAGCGGTTCTTCTTCATCTACTGATCGGAGGTTAAGTGCTCTGGTGAGACATCTCGAAGGCTCAGCAACCGCATCGTCCGCCATGAATTCTCTGAACCAGAGCTCGACGATCTCGGCTTCGGCCACTTCTGGCTTCACAGCGGGCAACTCTGTGTTCGCTCATGTTGATCGTGCTCCTGAAGATCCTATTCTGGGGGTATTCTCTCTCTTTCTCTCTCTCTCTCTCGGATTTCTGGTTTTGTGATTTTTTTGGCAGCATCATGATGTGAGTGATAATAGATTTTCAATTCTGATTTAATTTTTGTAAGGTGTNGAAATTTCTGGTTTTGTGATTTTTTTGGCTGCATCATGATGTGAGTGATAATAGATTTTCAATTCTGATTTAATTTTTGTAAGGTGTTCATGAATGACTGAGTAGCCGGAAAAGTTTTTATTAATCGATTTCCTGATTACATTTCATTAAGGTGCTCATCAATATCTTAGAAGCAGTAAATGATCAGTTTACTATCGTGATTGATTGTATATGCGGTTGCTTCAAAGAACCGAGGCAAAGAAGGCTAGTAAAATTGTTGACTTAATGTTTTTCTTATTCCCTTTATTGGGAAGATACAATATTCTCACCTTAATCAATCCAAGTCAAGCGAATGGTTCCTTGGGCTAGAGGAAAAGCAGGCTTTTGAATCCCATCATGCTTGGGGGATTGGGGTGGGGAGAGATATGACTGTTTTTCTTGAAAATGACAGTTTATTTTATGTTGGTCTGAGAAATGTCAGTTTATATTATGTTGGTCTGAGAAAAAGTCGATTTCTTGACTTCCATTTGCCAATACTTTCCCGGCAACTAAACAGAGCATGAGGGAAACGTGTAAAGTGGAATATACTTAATGGACCTTAAAAGTAAAACATGGTTAAGGAAGGATTTCTTGATCGTGACAGATCCATCTAAAACTAGTTGATTTTGATCTCAACGTTTGCAAGAAAATCTCCACAATTTGTCTGCTGTTTTTGTTTGCTGTAGATGTTTGACACCTCGAGTAGTATTCTCTTACAGATGGATATGTTTGGGAATTCACGTGCTTATGAATGAGGTTAAACGCCTCCTATTGGAACTCTCTGCAATATTTTGACCTGTTTGTATATGTTTTGGATCCTTACAACGCATATATCAAGTCTTTTCGTTTCTCTGTGCTCCTCAATCTGCCATATATGGTTTGGTTTTAAATTCAGTGTGTGTCGGAGCTTGACATCCTTTGTGGTATTTTTTTTAACAAACAGGTAACTGTTGCATATAACAAAGATCCCAGCCCAATGAAGCTGAACTTGGGTGTTGGTGCTTACCGAACAGAGGTAACTTTTTTCTGTTACATGAATGTATGGTTCTATAGTTCTGCTATCGCCGTCACAAATAGAAATGCAGATGTTAGTTCATCTGTTTTCGATTTGAAGTCATTTGAGAATACTGGCTATCATATTTGGGCTGTAATGTGATGTGAAACATGCTGGCAAGACTACGGTTATCCTATAGCATGGAAGAGCTGAACTATAGTTAGGATGCCTTCAGAAAACGTAGGTCTACATGCCTGATGCTGTCATTTGCTGATTTGGTCTCATTCATTTCATAACAGGAAGGAAAACCTCTTGTACTAAATGTTGTGAGACAAGCGGAGCAGCTACTTGTTAATGACAAGTAATTTTCCTTGTTTATCATTTTCTTTCATTATTGTAGTTGCCATCATTTGGTATGACCAATGCCTAGCTCCAACTTGATGATGTGTAGCTCTCGTGTTAAGGAATATCTTCCCATTGTTGGGCTGGCAGATTTCAACAAATTGAGTGCTAAGCTCATACTTGGTGCTGACAGGTATGGCATTGCGTGTTTTATGTGATATTTAGACCATTTTTTTATTGATCCCACAACATATTAAGTTCTGGTGGCATGTGGGATAATAAATAAGACTTTGCATATCTGTCGCTTGTTTATTCTCAAATACATATTTTATAGTACCATATTTGTGAGAAAGTTCCGATGCTTATATGGAAAAAGGATGAATCCGGATGACATAATTTGTTTTGAGTCACCCCCACAATATATAACTGCAATTCTATGTTTTTGTCAAGCTGCGTAAGGAATCTAAAGTGCGTGATGTTTCTTTCTTTGTCCTAGTAAATTATTAGAAAATGGATACGTTTTTTTTTTTTTTTTTGTGGGGGGGGAGAGGTAAGTAAAGGAAACTTAGGTTAATGCCTGTCTTGCCATGAAAATTCATTTTAATGCCTATCCTCACATGAATATTGGATTTGCATATTATTATAGGTGGAGAGTTAAAAGAGGTCGAGACACGTGCTATGTCAAGGTGTTACCCCCTTAGCCATTGGCAGCATTTGGCATCGAGTAGCTTCGCCCATAGGCACCCATGCCTTAGCCAAAATGGCAAAAGTCCCATGCATGACTGAGGGAGGCAGTCCATACACATGGGCATGTGGGCACAAGTCAGCATGCAAGCAAGGAAGCGGACGGCTTGAATTGTGGGGCGATGCTAGCTTGAATAATGAGTCATGGGCTGGGCCATGGTTAGACACGAATGTAATGCAATTCGGATGTTGAGGGCTCCTGACACATGCACAACATGTGAGGAAGTTGAGCATGTGCTCTGCGGATGGTGGCAGTTCTGGGCAGTTTTTTGGCAAATGCATTACATGTGGGATCTCTGTCAGATTCAGACAAGTATGCAGACGCCAGTTATAACTTCCCTGTCATCCAATCACAGCAGACCTCGGGTAGCATTTAAATTACAGACATGTGTCTAGGCAGTTGAGTTTGTAACTGCCACCTTAAATATTATAAATTGGGTGCTTGTGGTCTGTAGTGCAACAAGAGAGTTGACACGTTTTTGGAAATAGACCTCAATGTTGAGTTCCTTATACTTTATTGAGAAAGAAATGTTTGACTGTTATTTATTGAGAAAGAAAGGTTTGACTGTTACCTGTAAATTCTGTGTGCCTTGCCTGTGTGTTTCCTTACTGTTCATTCTTTGTTCTATGTGCATTTTGTGTGCATTCTGAGTGTTTGGCTGAGACTAAGTGTTGGATCTTAGTGTCATCAGCCGTGACACAAGGGTAATTGAAGGGGATGAGTAGGATAAGTGGATGAGATAGAAGAAACTCGAATAACCTATTAACGAAGGGACGATTATTGGACAGATGGTAGGTGAATAGAGTGAAATGATTTCATTAGCTAGAAATCTCATGTCTCGCAGTGGGCAAGTAATGTGGGTATTTATAGCATAGTGTCCGGGTAGGTCAGGTTGTCTGCTGTGACCCTCTACCACTCGTCCTACCTCATAACTATCTGGACCGCGATGATACTAGTAGCCACTAACCTTGAGCTATGTGTCCCAACATTGACTAGACATTTTCTCAGATGCAGTTTGGATGCGGCCTCCAAGGAGGAGTACGACAACTGAGGAGAAAGAGGGTTCCCAAGGTTAATGATTGCGACTGGTCATTCTGGGATCATGACTTTGAGAAAGCCATGTACGCGATGCCCCTAGCACGCTCGTACCTGGGATCTTNAACTGGTCATTCCGGGATCATGACTTTGAGAAAGCCATGTACGCGCGATGCCCCTAGCACGCTCGTACCTAAGATCTTCCTTTCCCTCTCTCAAGACATTTTTCAAGGTGCCCGATAGAGAAAACTCGCATAACTATGAGCTTTCAACCACCAATCCACATGTCCTATTATCCTATATGTTGATCCAGACTAAGGACCTGAATTGTCTTAGGAGTTCCTTAGGATTTCAATCAATTACGTCCCAATGGGTAGTGAACCATTCACTGGGAAACCTATTTGAGCAGACTAAATTTTCAAGATCCCGTCTTAGGCCGAGGTTAATAATCATGCTCGTCTGTATCTGTTGTTCAGTTCTCCCTTGAAGTGGGTCGTATTGTTTTGTCTCTTGGTGCGGATCCCTTTGCTTGTTTGTTTCCGTTGTAGTATATCCTAACCTCCGAACATCATCCCTAATGCGTATAGTCTATGTGTGGAAGGGAGTGCCACTCTCCCTTGTAATGATGTCAAAAGAAAGAGCAACGAAATGGTGGGTGAATGAAATGTGTGTGTGTTTGTGAACAAAAATACTTTCCAAGTGCAGAGAGACTTATGCTTGTCGTGTTTTACTTGAAATTGTATTCCAATGTCGTCTCCTCAGGGAAGGAGGTGTATCAGCATGAAGGTGATTTTTATAAAAATAAAGTGTAAAATCTTGTTGGTTGAAGGTTAGTTTGTGATTGTAATGAAAATGAAATAGAAAATTTTTTGGCTAATTCAAAGGGTTCACTCCAATGGAAATATTAAGTCAACTCGAATCCTTCCTCCAATAAAGCATAGATGTACGATTGATTCGTGGGAAGTTAGGGATGAGATGGAAGTGAGGATCCAAGCATAACTCGTGATAAGTCTATGGGATATCAAAGACTCACAATTCGTCCACCTTCAATCCAGTCANGAATATTAAGTCAACTTGAATCCTTCATCCAATAAAGCATAGATGTACGATTGATTCGTGGGAAGTTAGGGATGAGATGGAAGTGAGGATCCAAGCATAACTCGTGATAAGTCTATGGGATATCAAAGACTCACAATTCGTCCACCTTCAATCCAGTCAAATTGAATCATCGTACTCTAGAGGAGGAAGGAAAATGAGTTGAAATAGCATACCCAAGAGGAGGTCTCCCTTGGATTAGCCAATTTAAAGGCTTAACTACTCATGCTTAAGGTAAAGACAACAATGTAATGAGAAGACATTATGAAAAAATAAAGATTAGAGCTAATGCAAAAAAACATAAACTAAGAGAGAATACATTTAATACCCATTTTAAAACTAAGAAAATGAAAAACTTAAATGCATTAATGGTGAAAATTGAAGGTTAGTCATAAAGATCTAGTTAGGGTACTTGCCTTGAACCAATGAGTCTTTCTATGCAAGAGTTATCTGTGTCATAGAAAGTACTCACAGTTATACAAAGTACCTTAGTTTTACTAAATGCATTCAATCATTCAATAAGCAAGCGAAATATAAAGCATTAAGCATAAACGAAATGCACNTTTTACTAAATGCATTCAATTATTCAATAAGCAAGCGAAATATAAAGCATTAAGCATAAACGAAATGCACAAATATAACTTCCGGATGATTTATACATGTTCATCACCTCTTTTTAAAGAGTGAATGAGAAACTACTCACTCTTCATAGTTTTGGTAAAGTTAGAAAAATGAGTGATGTTCATCTCTCCAAATAGGAATTACAAGGTAAAACACATTACACAAGGAGCCGATCTTCGACAAAGAATGAGTAAATCACGTTTCACCCTTCACGGCTTTAGTAAAGCTTTAAAAAAAGTGGAAGAGTTTCACTCCTCTAAAGAAAGAAGGAAGCTCAAATAATACAATAAAAGAAAATAATACTCAATAATATAATAAAAGAAGACAATAATTACTTTTGGAGGGTTTTTCACTACCAAAAGATGGATCTTTACAAGCCCTAAGAGGCAAAANAGAAAGAAGGAAGCTCAAATAATACAATAAAAGAAAATAATACTTAAAGTAAAAGAAAGCAATAATACAATAAAAGAAGACAATAATTATTTTTGGAGGGTTTTTCACTACCAAAAGATGGATCTTTACAAGCCCTAAGAGGCAAAAAGGGAGGGCTTGAATTACACTTTGATTCCCCTTTGTTTTGAGCTTTGATAATTTGCACCATAGTAGTTTGTAGCTTTGATAATTAGCTTCCTAGTAGTTTCTAGCTTTGACGCACAAAATTTTGAAAAGAACAATAATTAATATATTATCTCTAATTCACAGTAACCCTAATTTGACTAGNTTAGCTTTGACGCACAAAATTTTGAAAGAACAATAATTAATATATTATCTCTAATTCACAGTAACCCTAATTTGACTAGTTTAACTAACGCAATTGACCTATTAACGTAATTAAATTATGCATTAATTAAACATTAATTAAAGTTAATTACNCTAGCTTTGACGCACAAAATTTTGAAAAGAACAATAATTAATATATTATCTCTAATTCACAGTAACCCTAATTTGACTAGTTTAACTTTGTTTAACTAACGCAATTGACCTATTAACGTAATTAAATTATGCATTAATTAAACATTAATTAAAGTTAATTACACCCCTAACCTAAACATTACTAGTCCCTAGTAATAAATAACAACAGAACAAAATAAAACTACTTTCGTAGATAATACGATTGCATTTAGCATATGCAACAACCCTTTAAACCCCTAGGTGATCTCTAGTGGACGAGTTTTGTCTCGTGAAGATTTTCAGTAAAGCTACCTACNCATTACTAGTCCCTAGTAATAAATAACAACAGAACAAAATAAAATTACTTTCGTAGATAATACGATTGCATTTAGCATATGCAACAACCCTTTAAACTCCTAGGTGATCTCTAGTGGACGAGTTTTGTCTCGTGAAGATTTTCAGTAAAGCTACCTACAAACTCCAGATTTTTTTAATTAGCCGTTGAATATCATATCTTTTTGTTGCATCGAGGACAATGCATGAATCAAGTTGGGGTTGAGGTGCACCATTTACATGTTACACTACACCAATGTTTGTGGGAATTTTTGTAGATAATACCAATTTTTGGGGTGAAAATTCACCTTTCACATATCAAATAGATTTTTGTTTACATTGGTGTAAACTATGTGAAAAATTTAAAAATTTTTGTGAAAAATATCTGAATGTTGATCTGTATTCCCTTATTAAGAGTGTTTGGATTAGATGATATGTTGATTTTTGTTTTGAACCTTGAGCACATGAGCATATTATAGAAGTGAATCCTATGCGTGAGTATCACATATGTATCTGTTTTTGAACTCCACCGTATGTGCTCATTGAATGTGTAATTTTAACAATTTACGGATTGGATTCATATTTTAGGCTTGACATAAATAGTGGAGATGAGTAAGGACCCATGAGAGCTTTAGTGCCAATTTTTCTTTGGGAGGGAACTTACAGTTACTCAGGAACAATTCTTAAATTTTAAATTTGTTCAATAGTCTCATTATGCTTGTTTCGGTAATATCTTTATTGTCAGTGGTTAGCATTTGAGACTATTTTTGGAAGACTTTGTTAAAGATGTGGAAACTATTTTTTTTAATGGATCC